CAATACAATACAATACAATACAATACAATACAATACAATACAATACAATACAATACAGCCAAGACTAGAAGTGGACAATAACTACTAGGAAGATTTTTTTAGTAGATGTTTTGAGCCTATGATAAATATTTTGAATTCCAGATAATACGAAACACAGAAAAATATTTACTTCAGCATAATTAACTGTTACATCTGTTTTAGGAGGGAAATATTTAAGAAACTGTTGGAGAAATGGATTTTACAGACAGAATACCAGATAAGAGGACCTACAACCCATTAGTGGTCATCATACTGTTAAAAATGCTGTTTTGTTTATTAGAAATGAAATACAGATTTCCACACTGAATCAGCAGCATTGTTAAAATCCTGGAGCATACACATTAATTCTTTTGCTAACCAAAAATTTTAGATTTCTAAAATGATTCATTTTACAATAATTGTAGGTGCATGAAAACTAGCATTTTATCCAGACATTTAAAATTTTTTGTCTTCTAGGCAAAAGTAATCAGAAATAATATTTTAACAGTTCAAATTTATTAAAACATAAAATAATTCAATTAAATGTTGACAATATGGAAGTAGCAAAATTGAGGCAAAAAATAGAAGTTAATTTTAAATAATGTAAATGTATATGAACATTTTGCAATAGAGAGACATGAAAGCACTCCTAGGGGTAAAACCTTACATTGGCTGATGATGTCAGTACAGGGTAAATGTGAGCTGCTCAAACACAGAGCACAGATAAGCATAATCTTGATGTCATAATCATAACATCCTCATTTCGTTTTATCATGTTCTAAATCAATGTAAGTGGAAGAACTCCCAGGAATAAGGGACACAAAATGGAAGGAAAAACAATTTCTAATCATCATGACTTCTCAGAATTTCAGTCCCTCTAGAGTTATTTCGAAGCACACAATTACCATATCATGGAGAAGCAAGATTTAAATAGGGCTGGATAACTTATCTCAGGTCTCTCACTGACTTGACAGTTTGTCTTCAATTTAGGAAGCAAGGTAACGTACCCACTTCTTTTATTTATCTATGTACCAGGTATTATTGTAAAACAGAATGATATTATGACAAAAACTGTAAAGAAACTAATACCCAGTATCTTAAGATTCTTTGAGAATGTATATTTTTAACTAGCAAAATCTAAAAATATGTCTTCTTTTGGCATTGTCAGAAAAAATTACAGTGTGGAGAACACAGATGATTAACTATATTAGTCCAAATAATGATGAGTATCTAAGCCTTGGTTTAAAGGCAAGGCTACCAAATGAGGGGTTTGGAAATCCAAAGCACTGTGTATTTGATGTTTGATACTGAAACATCAATATTTAGCTATTAATTTCTTATAGTTTCTTAGACTTAGCTCGGTGCTTGGATAGAGCAGCTGCTTATTAATCACATCTATTTCTGTTTCTGTTGCCAATATATTAAAAAAAACTTTTTTCACTAAAAACCATTTTAAACTCTATAATATTTGTCCAATTCCAATTTATTTTATCTAAGGAACACAAAATATGTATAAAATTACTTTGTCCACAAGGAAAAACTGAATATTAAGAGGAAAGAATTATGATCTTGTATCTTAAAATTAAGTACTTCTAAAATAAGTATCATATGAACAAATATTTTTTTCCAGATAATTAAACAAGTAGTCATTTTAGTGGGGTAGAAAATTAATGATATAAATTGGGCATTGCATAATTTTTCTTTTTTTTTCTTTTTTTGCTAATTTTTTTTATTAATTACACTTTATTCATTTTGTATCCCCCCCATAAGCCCCTCCCTCCTCCCCTCCCGATCCCACCCTCCCTCCCCTTTCTGCATGCATGCCACTCCCCAAGTCCACTGATAGGGGAGGTTCTCCTCTTATTTCTGATCTTAGTCTATCAGTTCTCATCAAAAGTGGCTGCATTGTCCTCTACTGTGGCCTGATAAGGCTGCTCCCCACTCAGGGGGAAGTGATCAACGAGCAGGCCAATCAGATTATGTCAGAGGAAGTCCCTCTTCCCATTACTATGTAACCCACTTGGACACTGAATTGCCATGGGCTACACCTGTGCAGGGGTTCCAGGTCATCTCCACGAATAGTCCTTGGTTGGAGTATGAGTCTCTGTGAAGTTCCCTGTGTTCAAATTATCTTGTTCTGTTGCTCTCCTTGTGGAGTTCCCGTCCCCTCCAGCCAGAAGAAAATAGGAAACAACCTTGAAACCTGCCACAGAGGGCCTCTGAAAGCTTCTGCAGTATAGACTGTCAAAACAGATGCTGAGCCTGATGGCCAACTAATGGGCAGAGTGAATGGAATTCTATGTAAGAAGTGGGAAATAGAATAATTTTTCTTAATACAGAAAAATGCTTTCATGAACATATTTTCTAAATATGTATAGTTATGTCATTGGCATACTTAGTACCATTTTAGAAAAATGCATGTTTTTTTTAATAATTTATGTTTTGTAGAATATAAAAAGCAAGGAATTATTTTACCGCAATAAAGCCTAATGAAGAGTTTATTTCACTTTTCAGGTGTTGTTGCTATTGTTTTTATTTACTTTGATTTCTCAAGGAAAAAGTTGATTGAAAACTATAAAACTGTATGTAATCATAGGGTAGAGACAAACTGAGTTGAATTAAGTCTTAAAAATCTTGCAAGGTCTGTCATTTTCTGGATGTGTGAAAATGAAAGGGCACCATATTAGGTAGTTTTATTTATTGCAATTTATTCACTTTGTATCCCAGCTGTAGCCCCCCTCTCTTGTCTCCTTCCAATCCCACCTGTCCTCCCTCTTCTCCTCCCTTTCCCCTCCCCCAGTCCATTGATAGGGGAAGTCCTCCTCCCCTTCCATCTTACCCTAGACTATCAGGTCTCATCAGGATTGGCTGGATTGTCTTCCTCTTGGCCTGGTAAGGATGCTCCCGCTCAGGAGCTGGTGATCAATGAATCAGCCACTGAGTTCATGTCAGAGACAGTCCTTGTTCCCTTTACTAGGAACCCACTTGGACACTGAGCGGTTTTCTTAAGCCTGATGCTTAACATAGTACCATGTCGCAATCCTTCTGGTCCAGTTAAGGAGCCAGACTTAGGGATGTGGCCCAGAGACCCTGTGATGAGGCTTAGAGACCTGGTAAGGCTGCTTAGCTGAGCACTCATTTTACATGAGCACTCACTCATTTTATCTCCCCATGTTTTGCTGTTTCTTTTTCTCCTTGAGATTGATAATAAATTGTAAAAAATGTGTCCTGGGCTAGGAAAGATGACAGAAATTGAGAGTGCTTGTACTTTCTTTTTCTTTCTTTCTTTCTTTCTTTCTTTCTTTCTTTCTTTCTTTCTTTTTCTTTCTTTTTTAAGGCACTTTATATTTTTATTTTTTTCATTTTTTACATGTATTCATTTTATATTCCGATTGTAGCCTCCTCCCTCATCTCCTCCTGGCCTCACCCTCCCTTCCTCTTCCTAGTCCACTGAAAGGAAGAGTTCTCCAACCCTGCCATCTAACCCTAGTTTATCAAGTCTCATCAAGACTAACTGGATCCACTTCCTCTGTGGGGAAGAGATTAAAAAAAAAAAACATAGCAGGCAAAAAGAGCAGCCCCTGCTCCCTAACTTTGGGACCTGCATGGAGACTGAGCTGCCTATCAGCTCTATCTAAGCAGGAGGTCCAGGTCCTTCCCAAAATGGACCTTGGTTGGTGTATCAGTCTCTGCAGGGCCCCCTGGGCTCAATTTTTTTTTTTTTTTTAGCTTTGTTGGTCTCCTTGTGGAGCTCTTGTCCCCTCGGGTCTTCTACCCCCCCCCCCCTTCTTCCATAGACTCCATGTACTCTGCCCAAAGTTTGGTCTCAGCACCTGCTTCAATCCCCTGTTGGGTGGATCCTTCCAGAGGACATCTATTGTAGGCTCCCATCCTGTTCCTTCTCTTCCAAAGCTTCTGGTGTCTGTCCTGTTTGCCATTCTGAATGAGATTTATGAGATTTAAGCACCCTCCCTAGGGTCCTCCTTGCTGTTTGTACTTTATTTTTAAAAAATTGTTATAATTATTATTATTGTTGTTATTATTATTATTTATTACAGTTTATTCACTTTTATCTTGGCTGTAACCTCCCTTCCCCTGCCCATGTTCCTCTCCTAGTCCACTAATAGGGGAGGCCCTCCTCCCCTATTATCTGACCCTAGTCAGTCAGGACTGTCTGGATCCTCTTTCTCTGTGGCCTAGTAAGACCACCTTGCTAGGTGGAGGTGATCAAAAGAACAGGCAACCAAGTTTACGACAGAGACTGCCCCTGTCCCCATTACTAGGAAACCCCCGTGGAGACTGAGCTGCCCATAGGCTACATCTGAGCAAGGGGTCTTGGTCCTCTCCGTGCATGGTCCTTGGTTGATTCAGTCTCTGCAGGCCCACTGGGACCCACATTTTTTGGCTCTTTTGACCTCCTTGTGGAGCTCCTGTCCCCTCCAGGTCTTTCTATTGTAAAACAGAGTACAGGTCCCTCACCCAGGGCATTGGCTCAAATTAGCTCCCTCTGCTGGCCGCTAACAGAACTGGCACTCATGAGTGCATGCATCCTGACATCACAATAACATACACATAATTTAAAATGAAATGTCTTCAAAAATAATAATAATGTGCCCTAACAGATTATACATATATTATATATAACATATATAATATACATCATTGTATTATTTTGTATCTTTGAGTCTATGAAAGCTTATGATTTATGGAAGCAAATATGAACAAATTAATAAGTAATCTTAATTTATTATGACTGGGAGGAGTTTCCATATCTCAGAAGTGAAATTTTTTACATTATGCTCTCTTTATGAAGAATTTGTCACATGTATATACATGATTCCCAGATTAATCTGCTTTTGGCAATCTCCATTCCCCTTTCTTCATAGAGGACATGAAGTTGAAGTAATATTCAACCAGTAAAAACATATATTAATGAAAGAAAAAATATTGACTTTCTGTCTATTTGACAGGACTCAGGAATCATGAAGTTCTTCATTTTTACTTGCCTTTTGGCTGTTGCTCTTGCAAAGCAGGTAAGTACCATGCAAAAATTAAGACCAAGTAGTCTTATTTACATGTATGAAACATTTACCTCCTGAACGTATAGGAACAGGCACGTGGTCATTTGAATCTGTAATCAAAGACAGCATTCACCCTGTTCCATACCAGACGCAAAGGTGGGCATGGTTTCTATGAAGTATTCTCCTTGCAAGTTTAGGGAGATTCCCTTCTATACCAGCTTGAACTTAACAATAAATTGTTTTCGTTCCTCTTAAAAATTTCTCTAAAATCACAAGAAAGACATGGTTAAAAATGAAGATTTCGACTAAAGCAGAGATAAGTCACAGTTCTTGACTATTATGGCTCAGAATCTAAATTTGTTAGGCAAGCAATGGGGAAGTTTTGTACATTAGTTTTAGTATCCTAACGTAAAGCAATCCCTCCACTCTAGTGGAGATGTTACTGCTATATTCATGTCATAAATTATAAACTCGGGCCTAGATACTTCATGGGATATATATTTGTATATACATACATATACACACATACATATACACATATACAAAGATTTCATTCTCTCTGCCTCCTCACTCTCTCTGCATAGTGTCTGGCTGTGGATCTGTCTACGTATTTGTTCCTATGTGCTTCGGGAGGAAGCCTCTCTGATGATAAGCAGATAAAGCACTGAATTATTAAATATAGCAGAATACCATTAGGAGTCATTTTATTGATATATTTTTTTAAAGATCAGTAGTGTTCGGTTTTACCCTACGAGTCTGGGCTAGCTAGTCTCTGGTTCTTGGTCCCCCAAGATGGGTTACATGTATGGGTTACACCTCATGGATGGACACTTAAGTCAAATCAGACATTAGTTATTTGCTCCCACAAGCTCTGTGCCAACGTTGCCCTAGCATATTTTGAAGGCAGAACAGATTGTAGATTAAAAGTACTGGGGTTCAGTTGTTTTTTTATGTTTCTCTTTTTTGTAGCCTGCGGAGTAGTTTTCCATATCAAAAGCACTAAAATACAGGAGTGATATTTCTATGTAGGCACCAGCTTGACCTCTCCATGTTCAATGAGTTGTGTGTGTTATCTTCAACATCATAGTATATAATATATTATAATATGTGTTCTATTATGCACATCTTTACTTTTCAGATTATATACATATTCTCATACAAGGCAATCTAATGTAATAATCATAACCCAACTACAGTGAACAGCAAGTAATAAAGTAGCTGTGATAGGCTGCCACACTAAAGAACCACCAAAATCTGATGTTATGTTAACCATTCATTTCTGTAGTGGTCTGAACAAGATGGTTCCCATAAACTCACATTTTTTTTTTTGAAGACTTGGTCCTCAGTTGGTAGGTCTGTTTGGAAAGGAATAGGAAATTAACCCTTATCAGCGGAGGTTTATCGGTGTTGGGCTTTGAAGTTTCAAGACTCAGTCCCTAGTGCTGCCTCTCTCTGCTTCCTATTTGTGGATCAAGATTTAAGTATTCAGCTGTGCCTACTGCCATCTTTTTGCTATACCACCATGGACTCTGACCCTGTGTAACTGCAAGCCCAAATTAAATGTGTGTGTTTTTTTTTTATATGCATCGCCTGTGTCAAATAGTTTTGTTACACCTCTATTGGTGTAACAATAGAGGTATGACCAGGAGAATTTGTAAGAGTGAGTGACAAGAAAGGATCTCTTTGGGTGGGGGTTGATAGTGGCATCCTGATATTTAATCTGAGTTGTGATTACACAAATGTCATCAGTCTAGAATATGTATTTAAATGAAATTTTATGGTATGTTCACTTTCTTTATTTCTTTGAGTATTTATGGTATCTGTGTGAATGCTGAATATGTATGTATATGTCTTCTCATACCTGTACAAGTCAGGAAAAAAACTTGTGGGAATTGGTTTTTCTCTTCTTTTATTATGTTGTCAGGCTTGGCAGCAAGTATCTTTACCTGATGAGTCATTTTACCAGAACCTTCCATTAACAAATACTTACTTTTGAAAATTTGAAAAACACACATATGTTTAAAATGACATAGCATATATATGAAATATATATGTTTACCCCCCACTTTTTCTCTATGACATTCTGCATATTTCTCAACACACCTCCTTCCAAATTCTTGTGGGGTTTGCCTATTTTTAGTGAAAGTAATGTAAAATATGTTTATGTGGCATAGATTTGTTAAGTGTATGCCTAATTTGTCAAATTGCTTAGAGGTGTGTTGTACAGGAGTAACCACCAACACCTAAAAATTTTTGTTGCTTAAAAAAAAATGAAAGAAAGTTTCCCCAAAATACATCAGGTTACAAAATGCAAGATAACTTCACATTGTAAATAAGTCATAAAAGTAAAAATTTGTATTTTTTGTGTTTTTATAGAGGATGGAACAATACTCCTCCAGTGAGGTAAGACATTCTAATGTGAAAACAAAATAATTTCACTAGGAAAGTATATGGCATGGAACGCAGCGGTCCATGAGGGGCAGAGTGGTGACAGTGACAGAGTCCTCTTCCCTTTCTGGAATAAAAACCCTGCAAGCATCATTGGTCCAGACTAAATGTAAATTTCTAGTGACCTGACATCTAGTGATCACTGTCACCTAAAGACTTATATACTTAGGATTATATATATAGATATATATGCAAAAATAATTAAATAAAAAGAGTACAGTAGTGGTGAAATTGAGACAGAGCAAAGGGAGGGTCACATGGAAGGACTTGGAGGGAGGAAAGGCAAAATGACGCAATTATATTTTTAACGTGAAAAAAAAGGCGAAAGAAAAATGTCAGAAGGAAACAAAAGTAGAAAGAAACTAGGAAATGTTCAGGGGAAATAAAAAATATTTTAAATGCTGTGTATTTTGATGCTTGAAAGTTTTTGTTTCCATGCAGTAAAGAACATGGTTATCTGGAACATGATAAGCTCATTAGAGAGAGAGTAAAACTTTTGTGAACTTTGCTCTACAGTTCAGACAAATGTGTTATCTACCAACTAACTGATGGAATGGACTGAAACTTTTAAGAAGTGTAAATATTCATGAGGCCAATAACTTTTTTTTTCTTTCTAAGGAGTCCATGGACATCTCTCAGGAAGTAAGTTTTTACTTTGCAAACTAAATATATTTTAGCAAAATTTTAAAATCAAATTTTATTTTTCAGAACTTTAAGAAGGATATGGATGTAGTCATTTTCCCCAGATAGGTAGAGTTTGATCATCTTTATCTATTATTTTTGGCAAATACTTGTTTCTATGAAACTATGTCACTTTCTCTTAATAAAAATGACTATTTTATTTATAACTTTCAAAAGAAATATGTTTATTGTTTTACAAAAATTGCATAGCTCATTATGAAGAAGCTTCAGAAAAAGATTTGTGAGCTATTCGTTAGCCCTGTTTTTAAAGTAGGAAGCATCTAAATTTCTTAGAAACTCAAATCCTGTGCTTTGCTGGTTCATTATACAAAAAGCTCTCACAATTCAGTTTAGAAAGCGATATATCACAGTTCAGTTGTTTCCTTTTCAGAACACCACATTTAAAGCACATCAATAAGAAATACCTTGCTTTGAGTCAAATTAAAAATTAATCTGAAAATTAAAAATTAATTAACTGTCAAGCAACCAAATTTGTAAACCAAGATCATTTATAAAAAATGAGATGCTAATTACACCATTTTATTTTAAATCTGTGATAGAGTGGAACACATATATTTACACAAATCAATTAATATATTTTGTTCACAGACTTCTATTGGTTCTGGAGTTAAAATTCTTAAAATCCCCAATTTCTACATTTCTCCACCCTTCTCTTTTCCTATTTAAAATTTTTTATTTAGGTTAATGCATAAAGTTTTCTTTTTAACTGGCTCATTTAATTTCAAAATAATATGCTCATAAAAAAAGCATTATATATTTGCTGCCAAAGATATATTGGTGGCCCTAGTGGTATAGTTTTATAAATACACAGCTTAAAAATAACAATGTCAAATTTAATGAAAAATTATGAATAAGTTGTCTGAACTAATCTTGGGTACTCGTTCATTATCTAACAAGCTTGTGTGGCCTCCTCTGGTTCTGGGGATACAATGAATATGCAGGTAGAATTTCGTTCTCCCCATATTCAGATTCCATGTACCTACTGGTTGTGTGTCTCCTACCAAATGAGAAATTCAGATGTAAATCAACAAAACTCCTGCAATGGTGGAGAATCCATTGTAATTCTTTCTTTATGGAAAGGGGAATTTTCCCTTGTACCTATATAGGAGAAAATGATTCATGATCAACACTGTAGAGAAAATAGTCATAATTATTTCTCTTTTTCATTAAAGGAAACTGTAAAGAACATTCACATTCCCCAAATGGTGAGAATTTTTGTTTGTTTAGAAGTTTTGATTTGTACTATTATGTTCATTATACAAGATTCATGACATACGGGGACATCTATAAATCCTTACTTTTAATAAATGAGTAATAATTTATGTTACTTTAAGGAAGGCTGTTTCTCCCTCTCACTTTAAGAGTAGTCACCCAGATTGGTCTTGTTTCTTTGAAACATTTTAATCCCTTTTACTTTTGTACCTAAAAGATTCAGTCAACTAATCTGGTTGTGTTTCAAATATCCTACCTTATAATAATGATTATAGAGGCAATATTGGACTTAAACTAAAATAATTTTTACATTTATAAATAATAGTAGACATTTAATTTGGTTTACACACTTCAATTTTTAATCTCATGAAATTTTAATAAGCATACATTTATTATACATAGTTCTGGGTTTCATAAGGACATTTTCAGCTAAATAATGTAATAATTTGAGGCCTGCCAGATTTTGATTATTTGCTTGTTTTCTCTCAAGGATGCTAATCTAAGGTTCAACTTTAACATAAAAAAAGCAGGTTCATCCAAAAAGAGCAGATTTGTAACAAGTAGACTTTGCATGAAGCCCTTACTGAAACATACTGTCATCGTGTGGGTGAGGGCTGGCGGTGGGCTGTCTGGACAGTATCCAGTGATTCCTGCTTAGCGTTCTTTCATGGTAGAGACCAAGTATCTAACTCCAAGTAGGGTGCAGCGTAAGTCTAATCAGGCTCAAATCAAGAGCCTGCCACTGACTTCTGAAGTCCCCCCCCCCCTTAGAAACACCTAACACTAGCACAGTGAAGCAGCTCTCAACCACGCCATGAGCCCTATGGCCACCAGTGAGCTTATCTGACCTTCTCTCTAAACTGCAGACACCAGTTTCTTTTGGCATGCACCTCACCAGACTTGTGATTAGCAATCTTCTGTGTCACTCACCCATTAGCTCTTTATAATGTGTGTAGAATTAATGAAAACTTAAAACATATTGTAGTCCTGCACCATTATTTGAGTGGTGTTTCTGATGATTAATGTTTTAATTTACTTAATTTAATTGATTAAATTTCCAATAAATGATATAATTGCTCAGTCTTAATAATTTAGACCCCAATTATCCAATTACTTTCTCTAATACATTAGTATGACCCTAGGGTGACATCACGTAAGTAATGTTATTTATTCTTCTTTCCTAAGGAATCCGCTGAAGCTCCCATGAAGGTAAGTAATTTTCTTTTGAGAGACGTGATTACTTTAACAATAATTATAATTAGTATAAAGTAAATAACTTCAAATTAAATTGTTTAGTAATAGGAAATATAAAATCAGCATGAACTGGTAGTGGCTTGGGTTGTTTTTTGTATATTTTATAAGCTGCTTGTCACAATTTCAGCTTGCTATGGAAGAGAAACCCTAAACGTCTCATACAAGTTATAATAGCAAGAAAATCATATCAAAGTTATATTTTTCTTCTGAATGCTTTGACAATTTATATCATCTCAATGAGATGCTTAGCCCCTCCCATTTGTAGGCAGTAATATAGTTTTCCTATTTTTTTTGCTCTGATTTTCAGCCAAGGAAAGTTGTCAACTAAGTGTGGATAGTTTTTAACATTTTTAATTGAAATAAAATTATATCACTTTCTTCTTTCTCTTTCCTCCCTCCAGGCTCCCCCACTAACACTATCACATTAATAGTCTTTTCCTTTGATTATTATTGCTACATGCACATAGGTGTATGCTATATGTACAAATATGTAAATGCAACCATATGTTTGTTTTTGTTGTGTGTATGTGCTGCATATTACTCCACTGACTTCAGAATGCCACCATAATATTACATCATCGCTCATTAAACTTTTTCACAGTAGCATAGCAGACAGATATTTCAAAGGATTGACAAGCAATAGGATTCCCTGAATCCAACCATCCTGTACAAACAGAAAGGTCAGTGTTGGAGGTTGCTATTTTAATTCCAACTCAAGCTCTTAAAACACAGTTTTCTCAACTGACAGTGCAAAGTTTATTGACCTGAAGGATTATGCTGGAAGGCAAATGTTTCAATTACACAAAATATTGTACATTGTATTGTTCTATGTACAATGGACATTTGTTCCAAAATCTTTATAGCTGAAATATTTGTCCTTGAAAGCTTAAAAATTAAAAACTCCAAATGAGACCTCTCTTTTACAAAAATTTCTAATTGTCGTAAAACTCATTTTCTTTTGTCAAAATTCTTCCAAAATAATGTTTTCACTTTAAAACACTTGTAATGCAACTATGAATTCATGTAACAAGGTTCCAGAAAAGTATAAAGAACAATATATGGGCCAGCTATGTGGTTCACAGGGTGAAGTTGTTTGCTGCCAAGCCTGATGACATGAGCCATCAAGCTTCCAGACTAAAATGAAGGAAGAAAGCAACTGACCTCTGTAAATTGTTCTCTGGCCTCCACACTTCAGACAGACAATGTGACATACATGTGCCCACATACATACACACACTCACAGAAACACACACCTGATATAACTAAATAAATGCACATATGCATGTCTATTTATTATGCATAATCAATTTTCTTTCATACCTGATAAAAAAAAATGAATTTTTTTCCTGAAGAAAGAGGTCATGTGCTTTTATAAATAATCTCTAAAAAAAAAAAAATCTATCAAAACAGACTTAAGGCTTTAGGGCTAATTACAACGGCATTCAACTGTGCTAACTGCAGTAAGTGTATTAGTCACAATCAAAGAGATTAAGCAATTTCTATGTGTTTCAATGCCTGACATCAAAGAAATTAAAGGTTGGTTCCTTCTGTCTCCTAAGCCTTGAGACATATATGGAAAAGAAATTCAGTCTTCTACTTCTAATTCAGTCTTTTACTTTTGCCTTTGTTATATAACTTTGTGATAGATAGATAGATAGATAGATAGATAGATAGATAGATAGACAGATAGATATACATATATATACATTTACATATAATTTCATGATTATATTATATATAATGTGTCTAGAAATATTTCTTAACAAAACAATATTTTTAATTTTCAATAGGCTGCAAATGTAAACGCTGTTACAGTAAACTTTATGCTAGTAGATTTCTGCCGTCATAAATTATCTAATGGAAGTTCTACTTCATTTGAATCTGTCAATATCTGCTGTGCTACACAGAAGACATAGAACACTGAAGTGAATATTGAATATTTCCCTTTCTCTAGAACAAATGCTACCAAACTATTCAGAAGTTCCAAACACCCCAAGCCCTCAAGGCTCTTTATCAACATCACATTGCTAGGAATCCATGGGGAAATACTGTGAATCGTGCCTTCCCCTCCACTCGCACTCTGGTAAGTTCCAGGTTGGGCGAGCAAGAGTAAAGTATTAAAATACATAGAGTAATTAGAATTAAAACACCCAAATTGTAATTTAGAAAGAAAGACAGCAGTGAAACTGAGAGGAACAGAGGGCGAGGTATCGACAATCAGAAGATATTTTGCGAGGAAAAAGTCCATTTTCAATAAAAGGAGAAAAAAAGAAATTAAGTTTTAAACACACTTACTGTATAGCCAGTAAAGGCTATACAATCACCAGTAAAGGCAATAGTAACTAATGAGAATGTTATTAAGTTTACTGTGTATGTCCTCATTATTTGCTCATATTTCCTTGTACTTGGTTTCCTAAACATTCTCAACTGTAGAAGGAATTAGAAGTCATTGTCTTCATTTTGTAGAAGAATAATGATGGGGGAAACTATAAGACAGGAATATCCCAGCATCTTGTCTAGTTAGAAATAAAGATGAGTCCCTCTTGGTATTCAATCAGAACATAAAATTACAGCCTTTTTCTTTTTCAGGCCTACAGAGAACAGAGAATAGATCTCGACTAGTGAGATGAAGCATTTTATTATAAAAACAATACCTTGTAACCAACAGGATTGTTAGACAGTAGTAGATGCTCATCATCCTCACTTACAAAGTATTAAATATAAACTTAAAGAATCCACGAAATTTAAGTGAGAGCCTTGTAAGAAAGATCAGTAAGAGCACACTGCCAATGTAAACTTTTTTTTAATTTTTTATTAATTACACTTTATTCATTTTGTATCCCCCCATAAGCCCCTCCCTCCTCCCCTCCCGATCCCACCCTCCCTCCCCTTTCTGCATGTATGCCACTCCCCAAGTCCACTGATAGGGGAGGTTCTCCTCTCCTTTCTGATCTTAGTCTATCAGTTCTCATCAAAATTGGCTGCATTGTCCTCTACTGTGGCCTGGTAAGGCTGCTCCCCCCTCAGGGGGAGGTGATCAAAGAGCAGGCCAATCAGATTATGTCAGAGGCGGTCCCTCTTCCCATTACTATGTAACCCACTTGGACACTGAACTGCCATGGGCTACATCTGTGCAGGAGTTCTAGGTTATCTCCACGAATGTAAACTTTTAAGGGTTCAAAAAGTAGACTTGTACTAAGAGACACTGCCCCAAAATCCTAATGTGGTTTCCTTTTTCATAGACATGTAAAAATACTGCTGTTATAGCAGGAAATATAGTTCTCAGGCAGAGCATCATAAGCAGGGTGAGAGGAGCCCAAGTCAACCTCAACAAAGAACTCTCATCCAGATCCATAGAAAGTGCAATCACTCAAATGCTCACCATGTGTCAGAGATGCCAGAGACATATCAGTCCCATGCAACAAGTAACCTAGCTTTATCCCTGTGAATAAATAAATAATTAAGACATATTATTTTATTTTAAAGGAATCTGACATCATTTCTCAGCAAGTAAGTCAAATCATATCAACTGTAATCAGAACATTGTTTTATTTTGTTTTCACTGTTCATGTTTCTATTAGAATAATAAATGTTACTTATTTTACAGCAATATAACCAGAATATGATGGACATGAGTATGAAAGCCAGAGAGGTAATTTTTACCTTATATTGCCTCATTAATGGGATGCAACTTAAATGCGTGTATGTTTTATCTGTTTTACACTCACCATCTTTTAAAACCTAGGACTGTGAAAGAAAGGTGATGGTGCGTTGATTTACACCTGATGAATATATGCGGATGTCCTAATGAGAAATAGTTGTGATCTTCTGTGTTCATACTGTAAAAGTTAGGGAGAGCTGAAGGATTTCTTGTTATTACTCCATCACTTTCTATCATCATTTGTTCGCAAGATTACCAAAGAGTTGTACATGTGCTGTACTCGTTTTCAATGAGGAGATACATGTATATTTTATTCCTCCCAACACTCCAAAATCACTAAGTTGGAACTGATGAAGACCCTCATTTCCGTACATGAATAAGAGAAAAATTATAAGTAGGAAAGATTTGGAAACAGTATATAGCACCAAATCATTTGAATAGAGGGATAAGCACATTTGCAATTTTAAATTGTCTTTTGTTGCTTACGTGCATTCTCACTTCACTATCAGAATAAGTTTTAAAAAATGCATCTTTATCCAGCATGAAGGTCCTATTTACTCAGAGTAACACTGAAAAGTCAATTGTTCAACAGGATCTTGGTCAATTCTCCTGTACTAATATACTCACACTGGATTTTTATACAGTGCCTGAAAATTAGCTTACACATTAGCATACGCATTGGCAAGTTTTATGCCAGCCTGACGTAAACTGGAGTGCTTTGAGAAGAGGGAACCTCAACTGACAAAATGTACCCGCTAAATTGGCCATCTTGTGGTACATTTATAAGTTGATTGACATTGGGAGGGCTCAGACGACTATGGTGGTGCCATCCTGGGCTGGTGGTCCTGGGTTCTACAAGAAAGCGGAGTGAGCAAGCCTTGAGGAGCAAGCTAGTAAGCCGTACCCCTTCATGGCCTCTGTATCAGTTCTGGCCTTAATCTTCCTTTCCTGAGTTCCTGCCCTTCCTTTCCTCAGCGACGGTCTTATAAGCTAAAAGATGAAATAAACCCTTCCTCCCAGCTTGCTTTCGGTCATGGTGTTTCACCATAGCAATATAAACTCAAAGTAAGACTGGCTAGGAAGTCAAAAGGACAGAGTGACCTTAATTTGAGACCAACAGACACTTTGCTGAATAGGAAATTTTCAGTATTTTGTAAATGCATTTTTTATGAAGTCAAGAACTATTTAATTATCAGCCTATCAGGGATCTTGGATCTTTGAACACAGAAAAATAAAAAAAAAAAATGACCCTTTGATATGTCACTATCAAAAGATCTAAAGTATTCCACTCTATTATCAATAGACTCGGATGTGTGTGTGGAGGGTGAGGTGAGGGTAGTGCAGGGACATGTTTTACACAGTGTATGTGGTTACATTTACAGATTAGTACTAGAACACATTTTATTTTATGATCTTGCCTCTAAGTCTTCTTCCATCAAGTGATATCCAAGCTATATATTTCATTTTAGATACGTTAAGTTCATATGGTGCTAAGGACTACCAAAACTTGAAAACAGAGACGCTGATTAATAATGACAACAATTGCTTTTTGTTGTACTTTGATCAATAATCAAGTAAGTGTTTAATATGGATTTTGATCGTGAGTCAAATTAAGTTTCTGAGTTCCCACTAGGAACAGGGGCCTGATTGTTTAGTGAGTTCATTATTTTATATATTATTTACTTTTTACAATTAGTCTCACTGCAAACATTTTCATCTATTTAGTCTCTTGTGAGAACATCCCCCAACTTTTCTATTACAAGTACAACTGTATGAATATTATTTTTAAAATGTTTTTATTCTTCTTTTTTTTAAATCTTTTATTTATTTTTTATTAATTACACTTTATTCATTTTGTATCCCCCCATAAGCCCCTCCCTCCTCCCCTGCCGATCCCACCCTCCCTCCCCTTTCTGCATGCATGCCACTCCCCAAGTCCACTGATAGGGGAGGT